GAAATACTCAATGTACCTTGTTCCATAGAATAGATTTTTAAATTAAAGTGATAAATATATAAATACGAACAACTTTAGTAGGTTTCATAAAAACTTATACATTGCAAATATAATGACTAACACAAAACTCAGCATATACCAATTTCAAAAAAGTAATATGACGTTGGTCTCCATCCTCGCTATTATTCTTATATACTAGAAGTGTATAAACAACTGCCAGACCATTTTGAATATTGAACTCTGTATACAGATGTCCGGATATACAAGTGGAATACACTTATCTCACTTGAATCTCTGTGTATACTTAAGAGGTATACTGGTCATGAATATTTAAATACACAGGCCATGGAATAGAATACACATATTCGGATATAGAAACTTTTTATACACATACATAAATTGTATGTAACTTCTGATGGGTTCCCAGTCAAAATGTCTCTCCTAAGTGATCTCATACAAAAAAGTCTCGGGAAAAATATCTCTTCTAATGTATACCTACCTATATATAATTTTTCTTTAGAGAACACATACCAATTCCAAAAAAAGGTAAAAAAAAATCGCGTAGTGTACGTGCTCCATATAAAGTCTTTATTAAAAATAATTTTGATCTAATTTGATCGTATAATTCCACTAACATTTCTTACTACAAAAACAATGACAACAGAAAGGCCAAGTGGACATGATACAAAACACTTGGCACCGAGTGTTTTCTATGTGTGAATCTAAATAATAAAAAATTTAAAAAACCGGAACAGATTGTGTATCGTTGTTCTAAAAAAAAAAACAGGTGCACAAGTATAATAAAAAAACATTATTTAAAAAACCAGATGTTACTCATTTACCATATTTACTTGATGTAAACCGTTTGATATTAGTATTTTTGTGGTAAAAAAAAACAAATGGCATTATAAAACTAAATTAGATCAAAATTTTCTTTCTTTAATAAAGATTTTGTATAGAGCATGTACATATTTGGTGCGTTTTTACACTTTTTTTGAAAAATATATGTTTTATGCATATGTACTTTCTGGTAATTATATAGATATAAATTTAAATTATATATCCTTATATATAAACATACATCCTAATAAATAAAGGCCTCTTTTTGTCCGTTGTGACAAATTTTACAAACGCTTATTGTTGTGGCGATCACTGTATCACATTCAGTATCAGACAATCTGTATTACAGAACAGTTGGTACCAAGAAAGAAACGCAGCAAGTTTTGGAATTATTTCGAGAAATTTAAACCTTCGCTGGAAAAATGCACGACCTGTAAAAAAGAAATTAAGATACTTCATCCAAAATAATTGTGATAAAGCAGTGTCTTTCTTACTAGGTTGTGGAAATTAACGACAACATTTAAGAAAACATTCCGCAAGAAGTCGAAATAAGTAAGTACACATTTAAAACATTATTAAAATAGTAAAGACTATATAAAATATACTGATAAATCAATCAATAGCTAAAAAAAACTGTGCGAATAAAAATGTTTTTATCATCCATATAATATTTATTTGCAATTTTAATAATAAATGTGCACGTACACTTAGTGCACTTTTTATCTTTATTTGAAAAAGATATGTTTGGAGATCTGTACGCGATCTGATAATTATGTAAATTGTAACTACATTATATCCGCGGTATAAACATAAATTCTAATAAATTAAACCATGTCTTTTTATGACCTTTGTGAGAAATTCTACAAACGCTTGTTGATGCAATCGCCGTACCACATTTAATATCGGACAATCTGTATTACAGGACAATTATAATGGCACCGAGAAGAAGACACAGAAAGTTGTGGAATTATTTTAAGGAATTGCATCCTTCTCTGGTAAAGTGCACGACCTGTAAAAAAAAATTAAGATACCTGATCCAAAAAGCTGTACAACAATATTCAGAGCACACTTAGCAATTAAACATTAATGACACTTTCACACTACCTGACGACTTGAGGCAATATTACTCGGAGTTATCGGGATATAAGGCAAAATGTAAAGATTGTAACAAAACATTGTCTTTCTTATCAAGTATGGAACATTTACGAACACATTTAAGAAGACATTTCACAAGTATCCAGAGTCCAGATGAGTAAGTACACAATCAAAGAATTATTAAAATACCAAAAATTATAAAATAAATGTAATGACAAAACAATCAACACAAATAAAGAAAATTGAGCGAATAAGAGTTTTTATCGGGGCATCCATATAATATTTATATACAGTTTTGATCATAAATGTGTATGTACATCTGGTGCGTTTTTTACTTCTTATTTTTTTAAATATGTTTGAAGATCTGTACGCGATCTGATAATTATGCAAATTTTAACTACATATATATTCGTATAAACATTACATTCTAATAAATTAAATGTGTCCTTATGACCTTTGTGAAAAATTCTACTAACGCTTGTTGAGGCAATTACTGTACCACATTTAATATCAGACAATTTGTATTACAGGACAATTATAATGGCACCGAGAAGAAAACACAGCAAGTTGTGGAATTATTTCGAGGAATTAAAACCTACACTGCTAAAGTGCATGACCTGTAAAAAAGAAATTAAGACACCTAATCCAACAATACGCACAAAAAGAATGAGAGCACACATATTAAATGTACATGGAATATCTCTTGATAATGACATTCATACACTACCTGACAACTTAAGGCAATGTTACTCGGAATTACCGGGATATAAGGCAAAAGTTAATAATTGCGGCAAAACAGTATCTTTCTTAACAAATGTTGGAAATTTACGAAATCATTTAAGAAGGCATTCCACAATTACCCAGAGTCGAGATGAGTAAGTACACAATCAAAAAATTATTAAAATACTAAAGATCATAAAATAAATGTAATAATAAAACAATCAGTAGCTAAAGAAAATTGAGTGAATAATAGTTTTTATCGGGGCATCCATATAATATTTATTCGTAATTTTGATCATAAATGTGCATGTACATTTGCTGCGTTTTTTTACCTTTTTTTTTTAAAAAAAATATGTTTAAAGATCTGTACGTAATCTGATAATTATGCAAATTTTAACTATATATCCGTATAAACATACATCCTAATAAGTAAAAACCATGCTTCTTTCTGATCTTTGTGAGAAATTCTACAAACGCTTGTTATTGAGGCAATCACTGTAGCACATTTAATATCAGACAATCTGTATTACAGGACGACACCGACAACGAAACGCAGCAAGTTGTGGAATTATTTCGAGGAATTAAAACCTACACTGCTAAAGTGCACGAC